AAAATCAGAAGCCATTGCTGCATAAATGACAAAGCACCAAAAAGGGAAAAAGAAGAAAAAGAAAAAACAGGGGATGAAGATGCTGAAAAGCTTACTCTAGAAAAAAAAAGAGCATATAAATGCTTTTTAATTAGTGAAAAAGGTAATTATGTGCATTTCTATATTCAAAAAAGGATAAGTTCTCATAAAATATCTACAGAACATTTCAGATTCTTCATTTCTTTGACCCCCCTTTTTTCACAGCATTTCTTTGGCAGAGTTATTTTGGGTTGTTTATTAGCAACTCACTTACTTTCTTCAATGCTTTCTTATAAGCATTTCAAACACTAAAAAGTAGAGTTTCCCTCCAAAACTTCTTTAGACTTGTGAGAGAAAAAAGTGCTTATAAACAAGTTGAAGAATAAGCTCTGCCAAACAAACAATCATTGAGGGTCGTTAGCTCCCATGCACTTATCAGTCAAATGCATGCACATTTGCTAAAGCCAAGGTATAACACGATAATATTTTCAAATACTTCACAAATGACCCCCCCATGCCTCTTATCTGCGAAGATATCTTAATCAAAAAGGCAGATAAGAAATGTTATAAAATTGTATCGTTTGATGAAGTATTCCATAAGTTGATCAGTACAACCTCCAGTTGAAAGCAAATTTTGGTTCACAAGTTAGAATTACATCATTATTTGTTTCACGAAAAATGTACAAAAACCTTCAGCCAACTCATTGATATATAATTACATTTGACATACAAAAAGCCCATTTTCCATAGCCTCCCCTACCCTCTACCTCGTCCTCATCTTCTCCTATTGGCATTGGCACAGGATGACTCCATGAACATACCTTCAGCCAGTTTATATTGGCATGTAATGACTCCATTAAACCTTATAACCAATCAAAATTATGCATATAGGGATGGAAGAAATGAAGGACTTCAACTAGTCTTCAACTTTTCTTTGCAAAACATAGTCTTTGCAAAACATAGAAAATAAAAGCCAGAAATCAACTAGAATGTCAAATAAAATAGAGCAAGTTAGATGTCCATTATACCTGAAGTGACTCAGTATGGCTTTCTGTCACTTTATGCAAGTTAGATATTTCAACAACAATAGAGCTTCCACTTGAATAACCCATC